AAAAAAAAAAAAAAAAGAATCTCCTCATGGACTACTAGAAAATTGTCCTATGCTGGGAGGATACTGGTCAAATCAGTCATATTTGGCATCCAAGCCTATTGACCTCAACTCTTCATGATCCTTGCCAAGAAATTGGGTATCATAGATGCATACTGTCGTAGTTATGTTTGGTCAGGAGTCAACACAATAAGTAAGAAGGCTTTGGTTGCATGGGAAATGGTTTGCTCCCCTAAATCTGCAGGTGGACTCAACCTCATGAACTTAAGGCTATGGAATAGAGCAGCAGTATTGAAAACCTGTTGGGACTTAGCACATAAAACTGACAGGTTATGGATGGATTCATAGCTATTACATCAAGGGGCAGCAATTTGCTATCGTGAAGGTGCCACAATGTGCATGTTGGATGGTTAGGAGGATCTTTGATGCAAGAACTACCATGATGCAACTACTGGACCAACCTGCACCAGGGAAAAGCTTGATTAAGCAGACTTATTTGCAGCTCTTAGGAGCAGTGTTATCAAAGGCGAAAAGCACAAAAAAGCTCTTAAGATCCATTGGTGCTTTAAACGCAAAGCGCAAATAAAGCATGGTTTTTAATGAAAAAAGGCGCAACTGGAGAAAAAGTAAAAATATGTATATGTAGTCTAAGACTAATAATTACAAACATGAATAACAAAAATATGGACAAAGAAATTGAATTACGATAAAGCGAAATATCAATTGTTCAATATCGCCTTTTCAGGATTACATTAATTGGCAAGAGAAAGTATGCCATAGAGCCTTGATGCAACACTAAAGCGCTCACAAAGCGAGGCGAAGCGTTCAACATATTTTGAGCCTCGCTCCAGGGCTTAAGTGCGCTTTTGACAACACTACCTAGGAGACCTACCAAGAATACCATGGAAATGCCTAATGTTCTCCAATGATGCTAGACCTAGAGCGTGGAGAAGGGATGCTAGACCTAGAGCACATTTTACCATGTGGCTTCACTTGCATGAAAGATTACTCACTGCGGATAGGCTAGTAAAATGGGGACTCAATGTGGAACTAAAGTGTAGCCAATGCCAAGAACACAATGAGACAAATGAACATCTCTTTGTCCAATGTAGACTCTCAAGGAAGATATGGGACAAGGTACTGCTATGGGGGAAGAAGAATACAACTTTTCCAACTGCATGGATGCAATATCAACAGTGGACTATTGAGAATGCCAAGGAAAATCACCAACTGCCCAGATTTTCAAGTTGCTATATATAGAAATATGGATAGAAAGGAACCAAAGGATCTTTGAACAGAAGAGTAAAAAGATTGGGTCACCATTGCAAAAGAGATAGCTTATACATGTTGTGCTAGATCCCCTGTTAGAACTAGGAGTTATTTTCAATCTTGTTCGTTTTAAATTTCCTAGGATGGTAGATAGAGGAATTGATAGTTTCTTGTTTTTAGATAGTCGAGTTTAACTAACTATGGCTTTGTACGGATCTTCCTTGGTGATTAATAAATGTTTAATTACCAAAAAAAAACATCTTTAACCACAAAATTATTATGAGAACTTGACTGGAACACTATCTGAATAGCAGTCACACCATATAGCTCAACTTATAATCATGGTAGATTCCTCATTTAATCATATAATGTAACAGTGGGAGACGGGTCTGAATATATTGCACAAGAAAATATAGGAGGAACATTGAAAAGTGGAAACCAGCAGAAATACAGACGATGTTAGAACTCTGCTACAAGGGTGACAAAGGCATGTATTACGAAGTCTGGTATCTCAACAAATGATACTATTTTCTGGTGCTGCTTTCTGCTAATAGAACTAGTTACACCAGCAGTTACATGAATGAAGAACTCTAGATGACGATCGCTTTTTCCGTTAGGACTCCAGAATGAGATATATATGCTTAAGTTTTTCACATCACTCCTTTCTCAAATGACATCTATTCTAGTATCTTGTTCTTACTATTATTCTGGAACATCAAGCAATTCTTTGTCTCATGCATGAATGTGTTCCTTTTTCGCTGCGCTTCTGGTTTTGATAACATCAAGCATGTTACTGACAAAATCAAATGAAAGACCCTATGACATACATAGAGAGGAAGGGGATGCATTGCATGTTATAGTGCGAATCAGACTTCAGAAGCCGTGTTATCTTCTGATTGCAAATGGCCCAATAAATTTGTTGTTCCAATCATTTCGTGCTATCTTCTGATTGCCAGCATTTCTATTCTAGCCTAAACATATCTTTATCATGATTTCATTAAGCATTTCTCATTGAGTCACTAAAACTACTCATGAAGTATACCATAACACCCCACTACCATACTGGCTGAGAAATTACTACTGCCGATGTGTTGTTGTTGTTAGAATTATTTTATCTATTACTACCATTCTACCACTAAACAATTGCTTTCAATGTCATGAATGATTCAGAAATACTCCATCAGACAGACAGACAAACAGAAAAGGAGTCAGAAACAGAAATAAAGATATGTTAAACAGAAGAGAAAGGCAAGGAAAGTTTGACCCGAGAGACTGAACCTCTTTTCTTTTTATCATATCCGGGATCCTAAAACTTACCTTATTTCACCCAAAAACCTACAGATAGTTCCTTAACTACAGTTGCAGTTATCATTATGCATCTCTTGCATGCATTTACATTATGCTAGTTATGTNGGAGCCAAACAAACTTCAGAGACCTACCTTCAAGACAGTACCATTCACTTTGTAAAGGTTTTGCGTGCCATCACTCTCGACTCCATTCAACTGAAAACCAAAGAGAGAAAATAAAATACCAGAACTGCAGCCATCGTGTTAATAAGAGGCTGCAAAAGATGTTTTCTGCCCTGTTTTATTCGAGTCCTTTCTTATTAGATAAAAAAGTATTTAATTACAATGACCTAGTATGGAGACGACACAATTTTTTTTGACAAGGGAAGTCCACACAATTTAACTATTATGTATGTAGAGGCTAGACTAGAAACAAACAGAACAACTTTGTGATACATCCAAAATTTTTGCTCAATCAGTACAACGTAGACAATTCTGAATATATTTACTTTGACAGCATGAAGTCGGTGATTGAAAGATACAACAAAACAAAGGAGGAGAATCACCAACTGGCAACTCCAACTTCTGAGGTTAGGGTAAGTTTCACTGGTTAATTTGCAGTCAACTAGTCAAAGAAAAATATGCATACTAAGGTTTCTATCATAGCCATTTCATGTCGTTGAAAAAGGAAATGGTTGAGCAGTTGAGACACATGAGTAACAACCTGAGATCTCAGGTTCAAAGCTAAGCTATAACACTCGGTATAAGCCTATCTGCTCTACCATGGTGAGCTGATTTCGCGCCATGTGTACCGCAGGCTTTTCGGTGGGATACTCAAGGTGCGAGCAAATTGACCCGGACACCACTATAATAAGAAAAAAAAAGATGTTCAAAGTTAACAGAATAATTAAATAGCAGAGAATTTGGTAATGATTATATTACCAATGAAAGTTACAAGATCAATAAGAATAATATGGAAAATATCCTTAGTGATTATATATCATGTAATAAATAGGAAACCTTAGGAACATGAAACTTCCTTATCTCATATATAGTTCAAAACTTTTCTACAAGGAGCACTCTTGATGTTATCAACCAGTTCCAACAAGAGTTTCTCTTCGTCTCTCTCCTTCCATGTAGTATTAGGCGTATTAAGCTTCTACGATATTTGTGGAAATCTAAGTACTACTCTTGCCTCTTTCTGATAACCCTTCTAGGCAGCACTATTCTTGTTTCCAGCCATCATTTAGGCAGCATTGTGCCTTTTCAGGCTCCACACTTCTTTCCAGAGAACATTTGAGGCACCACGCTGATCTCTTTCAGGCAACCATCCTGACGGCATCGTCTCTTCCGGTCACTTTTCTCTGGCTTTGCCAGCAATTACCCCAATAATTTCTTGTTACCCTTCAATTTTAATTCAAGCTTACATGATTTAATAGAGATTTGTGTCACCAAAATCTCTTTCCGCTAAATTAAGACGATTTTTCCCATGTGCTGCAAGGCACATTTCTTTGGCTGTGTCGATAACAGTCTGTGAGAAAGAATACGACCTTTCGGTGATGAACACTGTTCCGTCAACAATCAGGAGTTGAACCTGTACTAAAGTTTTTGCTCAACTCCTATCCAAGATACAAGGAGTCTATAAGTCTAAAAGTGTGTCAAAATGATCTTAGTGAGAATTACTCCTAATGTTCTGCCATTGACCAGAGAACTATAAACTATTATGTCATAATTGAAAACCCCAATAATTAGGATTCTTCAGTCCATTAAAAAAGAGCCCTCATATATGTTAACCCAAAAAAGTTCAGTAAGACACGAGAGCTTTTCTAACAAGAGAAGTTCAGTAAGAGTTTCTCTCCTCTTTCCTCTTTTCACAACATGCATAAATTGTGGTGTATTGTCGTTAACACTTTTTCCTGACTACCGAGAGATCCCAGTGGCCAAAGGGTTCGAAACTGGGTGAATGATGGGCCCGCCGCTCTACCCATCTCCACTTAAATATCTGGCTTTGTCTGAGGCAAGATTCGAACCTGTGGCCTGTGCCTAATCCACACATCATCGATTGTGCTCTTACCACTAGAACAAAACCCTGAGGGGCATTGTTGTTTACACCTCTTTGTGAAAAGGATTTAAAAGATATTAGCACCTATCCGCAAGTTTTAGCAAATTAATTAGAATTAGGAGATGGAGAGCAGGATAAAGGGGCAAAAGCAAAAAACAAACAAAATGCTGCAAGAAAGAAGCATGCAGATTCTCATAGTTACAGTCAGCTGTACCGTTGAAGATGCTGGACTGAAGGCTAAAGTTTGAAGACAGATAGTTTAAACGGAAGGAAGATATTTTACAAGACTAGAGCAGATTTCTCCAATGTGTTTTATAAAAGACACGATCAGCCAGGGGCAATCCAACACATTGACAGAGAACAGGAACTAAGTATTCCATTATTATGATGCAGCATGAAAAGCTACCTATTGTATGAACGTACTGCAACTTCAGCTATTCAGGATTTAACTGGAGAGGGGTCACATAAAAGAATAGATCAGGGACTATGACTCCCATTTGTCTAGCAATCAAAGCATAGCTAGGGATAGAACTGTCTTATAGTTCACAATTATTTCGATTTGCATCATATCAACAAGAACATCTTCAGCTAAACAGATTCCACCTAACCACTACAGTCTTCATATTAATGTGAAAAAATATTCTACATGGACACAGGCTGATTCCTGCTAGATTAAAACAACAATAATTAGGGTTTTCATGTTCTTGAGGGTACTGACAGGCCACATGATTAGAATAAAAGCAACATGCTACCTTTTCACTGATGATGACCATTAATAAATCGACTTCAAGGATTTAGCAATCTGTCAAATTCTGTTGTACAGGAAAGTTTGGCCATCTTTGAAATTACTTTTACAGTGTAAAGGTTCTTTTATTGTGGGAAAACTTCTAGTATGACAGACTTCAAAGATTGCTTATCCCCCCAGGCCCCAGGCCCCCTTCTAACCAGTTTCCACAAAATCTCAAACAAAATCTTCAGAATTTTCATCATCTGAGTCATGCCAACTCAACAAGGAAATTCAATTCGTGGTAGAGGGAGTAATGATTTCCTTACCGTGAAGTCCATTTCTTGATAATGGTCAGCTAGGGCACACTCATCTCCTAACTTGTCTGACTTGAATGTGGTACTACTGAGTATACGAGTCAAACCTTTTTTGAAAAAAGAGAAGTGGATACCGGTCCTAAACTTTCTACCAAGATGACACAGTTGGTGTTAATCTGAACCTTATCTTCTTACTTCTACTCAGTCCCTCTTGTCGTTATTAAGCAGATAATGACATTCATGGATAGCACTAGGTTCTAGGTACCACTGCTTCACTCAAGGTATCCAACTCTATAACATGTCTTTGTCATGTCATCTGTTCAGTATTTGGAGATCAATCTCTAATCCTTCTTTGCAATTGCAGAAGGGAAAAACAGAAGTCAGACGCTATGCTTCATGTCTTCAAGATGCTGCAAAGGAATAAAAATTCCCATTAAAAAATAGTTCGTTCTTCACATATCAGTATTACAGGAATTATGCAGTTCAGGCATATAGGTAAACGAAATGTGATGGGAAGTGAAACAGGAGAAACATTGGGCCTTCCTGTGTTCAGAAATCACACACCCTGATACTACTGTGAAACTGAAGCAGTGTAGATTAGTCTACCATTCAGGGGATTTTCATCTGACAGAGAGCCATATCAGTTCAGGTGCAGCAAGGAACTTTGGATATGGTATTGGAAGGTAATTTCTCGTAAGATTGATCACGGAAGCAGAACTTGACTCCTTTTAATAATAAGACTGCATAGGTCAACATAATTTAAGGCATAATTAAGCATTCTGCTGAGGGGTTAATACTGCCATCATGACATTGCACTCATGCTCATAGCACACACTTCCTACGGTACACAAAATCCAAGAACAGAAGATCTCATCTAGAGCTGTGTTATAATCTCCATCTGGGGCACGGCTAATTTCTTACTGCACAAGAAAAAAATGTTGCCCATATGTCATGAACCTAAGTAGCGGTAATGGATTAAAAAACAGTTATCCATCCATATTATTCACTAAAAAAATGGATTGGATAATGAATTTTTTAAAAACGGGTCAAATATGGATAAAAATCATATTATCCACTTAGAAAATGAATAACTAATGTATAACCAATAGATAACTAATGAGTTTAACTTTTTATATTTCTAAAGATTCAAACTGAGGGTTCCTCAAGTTTGGGAGACTAGGAATTCTCCCAAAAGTGATCATATTCAAGAAGCCATGGATAATCTGCCGGTTAACCCATTTTCTATCCGTATTAAATATGGGTTAGGTCGGATAATTTATCCATTTTTGCATTCCCATTTTCGACCTGCTCATATCCGATCCGACCCACCTATTTGCCACCCCTAAACCTAAGCAATACATATTATGCAAATACAGCAACATAAGAACCAAGGATATGGCTAAAACATTGAAGAACTATAACCAGATAAACCTTCCGCCTTAGATGTGGTTAGACTCTATATAGTTACCTCTGACCAGAAGGAATCCATTCTACAAACCAATTTTCATCACATGCCATACTATCACTCTACAAAAATGAAGCAAACTGAATATGACCAACAACTAAAGAGCCTAAATAATAATCTGACAGATATCCTTCCTCCCCAACATGCATCTAAACGACACTAACTTATGTATTATTCTTAACAAAAGCCACTAATAGTTGCCTAAATGTCATGAAACCTCAACTAGAAGCCTCGGTTACCATAGAGTGGGGCAATGGTATCCATGGTTCAGTTTTGCCACCTCAAAGAGACCCAATATCTCTGTTCAATCCTACTCTAGATGATTTCTTTCCGTATGTAGATAAGCTCTTCACTTATCACATAACCTTTTGCTTACCTTTTGTCAAAAGTGCTAATGCTAAACTTCACGTTATCAAGCACTACCAACTATTATAACATGGGTGGGATGAGATGTAGCCTCTCTCCACATAATCCCACCATCAACATATAGGAGCGGTCGTCTACCATTAGCTTCATTGCAAGTTGGGAAACAAGACAAAGATAATTTGAAGCATGTAAAATATCTCTTTCTGGTATAAAATGAAGAATGTAAATTCTACATAGATATCAACAAAGTGTTGATCACATACTTGTCTATCCCTGTGCTTTAACTCTATTGCAGATAAATTACAGTCTTAACTCTATGAATAATAGCATGGGATAAGTTCAGCAGAATCCCCAGAAATACAACATTGAAATACAGGAGATAATAAATCCAACAGTATTACATCATGTTCAAGCCAAAATACTAAAGACATGCAGAATAGTTTTCCAATTTTCCTCCCCCTAATAAGTCAAATGCCACCTTAACACGGTCCTCTTAGCATTTTAAATAACTTTCAACCAGTGGCGGAGCCACATTGAAGCAAGGGATGTCAAGCGACACCCATTCGCCGGAAAATTACACTATTTTGCTAGATAACTTTTTTTATTTTATGTATATTTACTATACGTTGACTCTCCTTCACTTTTCGATATATCTAATTATTTATATTATGACACCCCTTGATGAAAATTCTGGATCCGCCACTGCTTTCAACTCCTCTCACTTACCATAAGTCTACCAAATCTCAATTATGAAAATAAATAGAAGTTCCAAAGCTGAAGTCCAAAACCATGAAAACCTAGATCATGTTATAGGCTTGTGTTCAACTCATCTTCAGAAGCAAGGAGGAGAATAAACTCCATGAGGTATCTCAAGAGCGTCAGAATGAAATGATACTAGAACACAAAATCAAGAGTCTTACTTTTGTAAGTTTTCTAATAAAAATGTAGCTGGAAAAATAAAATAACAAGTTTTTAATATTTAAGATTAGATTAAATCTTCAACGTACATATGCATAGACGAAGAATGAGTACCATTACTTTGTGTTGGTCTAGGTCGGCCTCAACATAACCAATACTAGCAATAAACGATGATCAGGTGGGGAGCCTTGACTAAGGATAAACCTCAGGAGTTGGAAGAGAGGTTATCGTCTATGCGAGCCTAGAGGAGTAGTGGGACGCGAGCGCTATGTCGACGATGACGGCGAACTGTACAAGGGAGGTGGCAAGAGAGGTGTTATGGGTCTCGAAGGGTTACTCTGGCGGGCACAAATGCGACTAGTGGTGGAATGGAGTGATCCAAGGTAAAGTGGAAGCGAAGAAGGCGGCGTACCTGAAGTTAGTAGGGAGCACAGGAGAGGAGGAGAGAGAAGCGAACATGGAGAGGTATAAGGTAGCTAGGAAGGAGGAGAAATTGGTGGTCACAGAGGCTAAGACTATAGCGTTTGGGCGTCTATACGAGGAATTGGGAGACAAAGGTGGGGATAAGAAGTTATTCCGGCTGGGCAAGGGGAGAGAGAGGAAGGCTCAAGATCTGGACCAAGTGAGGTACATCAAAGACGATGACGGTAGAGTATTGATGGGAGAGGCTCAGATTAAGCGGAGATGACAGACTTACTTTCATAAACTTCTGAATGAAGAGGGGGACCGGGATATTGTGCTAGGTGAATTGGGGCATTTTGAGAGTCACCGAGACTTTAGGTACTATAGGCGCATTAAGGTTGAGGAGGTTGTGGGGGCTATACGTAAGATGAGTAGGGGAAGAGCAACCGGGCCAAACAAAATTCAGGTAGAATTTTGGAGGTGTGTGGGTAGAGCAGGCTTGGAGTGGCTGACTGGACTGTTTAATGTTATTTTCAGGACGAAAAGGATGCCGGATGAGTGGAGGTGGAGTACGATGGTACCGTTGTACAAGAACAAAGGAGATATCCAGATTTGTAACAACTATAGGGGTATCAAGTTACTAAGTCATACCATGAAAGTTTGGGAGAGGGTGGTGGAAGTGAGGGTGATGAGGACGGTGTCTATATCTGACAACCAGTTTGGGTTCATGCCGGGTCGTTCAACTACGGAAGATATAAGAGGTTAGTGGAACAGTTCAGGGATAGGAAGAAGGATCTACACATGATGTTTATTGACCTGAAGAAAGTGTATGACAAGGTCCGTAGGGAGGTTCATTAGAGATGCCTGGAGGCAAAAGGTGTGCCGGTTGCTTACATTAGGGCGATTAAAGACATGTATGATGGAGCTAAGACTCTGGTTAGGACAGTGGGAGATGACTCAAAGCATTTTTCGGTTGTTATCGGGTTACATCAAGGATCTGCGCTTAGCCTGTTCTTATTTGCCCTGGTGATGAACGCACTGACACATCATATTCAAGGGGAGGTGTCATGGTGTATGTTATTTGCTGACGACATAGTTCTAATTGATGAGACGTGAGGCGTTAACGAGAGGCTGGAGGTTTGGAGACAGGCCCTAGAGTCTAAGGGTTTCAAGTTGAGCAGGACTAAGACAAAATACCTGAAGTGCAAGTTCAGCGCCGAGTTGAGGGAATCGGGCATGGACGTGAGGCTTGAATCGCAGGTCATTCCTAAAAGAGGCAGTTTCAAGTATCTTGGGTCGGTTATCTAGCGGGATGGGGAGATCGACGAGGATGTCACACACCGTATATTGGTTGGATGGATGAAATGGAGGTTAGCTTCTAAAGTCCTGCGTGACAAGAAAGTGCCACCGATACTCAAAGGCAAGTTTTATAGAGCGGTGGTTAGACCGCCCATGTTGTATGGGGCAGAGTGTTGGCCAGTTAAGAACTCACATATCCAGCAGATGAAAATAGCAGAAATGAGGATGTTGAGGTGGATATGCGGGTCCACTAGGATCGATAAAATTAGGAATGAAGATATTCGGGAGAAGGTGGGTGTGGCTCCTATGGATGACAAGATGCGGGAAGCGAGGCTCAGATGGTTCGGGCACGTGCGGAGGAGAAGCCTAGATGCCACGGTAAGGAGTGAGCAGTTGGCTTTGACGAGTACGAGAAGAGGTAGAGGGCAGTCTAAGAAGTATTAGGGAGAGGTGATCAGGCAGGATATGGCGTAGCTTCAGATTTTCGAGGACATGGCCCTTGATGTCGAGCATTAGGATTGTAGGTTAGGGGGTAGTCAAGCATTTTTCTACTCCGTAACAGGTGTGAGGCTAGTCTGATAGAGTTTTGTCTTAGACGGCTAGCGGTTAATGTTGTGTTCACACTATTCTTCCGTTTTTCATAATTCCGGGCCTTATTTACTGATTATTGTTTTTGCTTTTCATCTATTTTCTGGTGAGGGTATATCAGAAACAGCCTCTCTACTCCCCTGGGTAGGGGTAAGGTACACCATCAATTGTTGTTTTACAGGGTAATTGTTGTTGTTGTAACCTATACCAAAAAGCCATCAATAACATTAGGCATCAAATCTTTTATTCTTCTTTCACATATTTCACTTTGATAATAAAAGGTACAAGAGGAGATGGTAAATGAAGAAACAAACTCTTCCTATGAACTAAAAACTGTATACAAAGAGGGGAAATTCAGTCTTGTGGACCTATTAGATGGTGGAGTCCTATTTCATCTATTCAGTAGGATTATTCTCAGTCAATTAAGCTAGATCCAATTGTAAAAATCCCACATATGGTGCAAAGCATAGAAGGAAGTTACAAACAAATTATAGCACAATTAGGACCGAGGTTTGAATAACATATGATAGTATAGCATAGAGTAACTATGCGGCAACTGTAAGAACTCATTTACGAAGCAGAACGTTGAATTTGCATCCTCCATGCAGTACCACACACCAGAATGGCCATCAACTTCAAGGCTACCAAAACAACTATAACTTACATTTCTATCGCTGATGGCATATTGTGGAGCAAAACTTTTGAAGGTAGGAAGCAACAAATATAAAAAAGATGCCTTGTGGCTATCTCTTTCACTTCAAAACTTTGAATCCCCTATGAAATGTCATTCAAACCCATTGGTTTGAAGAATTCTTCACAAGTTTGTAGGAGTAATTTACCACAAAATATAGGAGCTGTTAATTAACATCACTCAAGCCACTCTACAGCAAATCCATATCAAGGCATTGTATTAATCAGGGCAACCAGTCAATAATAGGGTCCATGCTAAGAGATGCATCAAATTGTTAGTGCTATGCAGAAGAAGTCTTGTAGCTAAATCTACAATATGTCTTCCACGAAAATGACAAAAATTGAATTCAACCTGGCTTGGTTGCATGGTCAACATCTTGATGTGTCCTAGTCATGTTAAGACTCAAATCCTCTTCTATTCCTACATGTCGACCTTTGTACCAAAAGTAGAAATCCTCTTCTACACCCATTTTCATCAATGTGAGGAGATACAGAAGAAAACGGTCAAAGAGTCACTCTGGAAAGCAGCTGATTCACAGACACAGCAACAATGTTCTCTTTGTCAGTGTATTTTTGACTCTCTAATGTTATCTACTAATGTTTGAGACTCGAATCCCCTTCAATTCCCAAATGTCGAACTTTGCGCCTGAACCAGAGAACTTCCAAAATCCTAATCTGAACTAGCTTAAAAGAAAAAAGTTCAAGTTTTAGTTATTAAAAACGACACTACCATTTCATCAATGTAAGAGAAAGAGGAGAAACCTATCAATGAGGCAATCAAGAAACAAGAATTGACAGCATGTCTACAAAGTCTTTTTTAAGATAAAGTTGTCTCTAAGCCAAAGTAGATCAGTAAGGTTTCATATGCTGCGTCCTCTAATCATATTTGATGCATCTATTATTTTGAATTTGTCTAATTTATACCAGATTCTTCTTTTTGAAAATTTTTACTTCTTGAAAAAAAATTAACCACAAGAAGTGTCTCCACATTTAAAACTAAAATCAAAAGAATTCAAGTTCTTCCTTTTCCCTTTTAATCTTATAAAAGAGAAGTGACATTCATAAGGAGTATACAGCGATTCTTAACCAGATCCAATCCTTGGGATAACACAAAGGAAATGATATTTTTATTTATGTTAGCTAGTGAAATAGAGGGGAGCGGAACCATAAGCTAGTGTATTTCATTTTTCCTTCTTTTTTCATCATTGACAGGATGCAACCTCAAGAAAGTAACCCTAGCTCATTTTGTTTTTCCCCCTAATTTAAAAGGGCTAATAAATTAAAATACACAATCTTGAGGTTATACATGGATCTATTTCTTGGACCGCAAGGAAGGGAACGGCTATACATTAATCTAAATAGAACCCATTACATCTAAGCTTTGTTTACTATTGATATTGCACCTAGTTTTCAAAGCATGCAGCGATATCCATTAATGTCTCCTATGATAATCCAAAATGCGGAGCAGAGTGTTGACTAGTCAAGAACTCACACGTTCAGAAAATGCAAGAAGCGGAAATGAAGATGCTTAGAAGGATGTGTGAGCATAAGATAAGATTAGGAAAGAAGATATGTGGGACAAGGTAAGAGTGGCCCTCATGATGGACAAGATCCTTAAAGCGAGGTTGAGATGGTTCGGGCATGTGAATAGGAGGAACACAGATGCCCTAATGCGGAGGTGCGAAAGGTTGGCAATGATAGGTCTTAGGAGAGGTAGAGGTAGACCGAGGAAGAACTGGGGAGAGATGATTAGACAGGACATGACACATCTTCAGCCCACCGAAGACATAACCCTAGATAGGAGAGCTTGGAGGCCGCGGATTAGAGTAGAAGATTAGCAGGTAGTCAAGCGATTTCTCTCTTTTTTTGCGGGAGAGCAGTGGTTCTAGTTTAGAGCACCCTCTTCTCTTTATCAGTATTAGTATTATTATCCTAGTATTATTATTTTATTCCTCAATTTTATACAACTGGTGTTTCTTTTATTTCGATTATCTTTACTATTTTGCTGGCAATAATTTTCTTTGTTTCAGTATTTTCATCATAACTTTTTTACTCTTGTATTTTTTAAACCTATTTTGAAAATTCTTTTCTTGAGCCAAGGGTGTATTGAAAACAACCTCTCTACCTCACACAAGGTAGGGGTAAGGTCTGCGTACACCATACATTCTCCAAAACCCACATGTGGGATCACACTGGGCATGTTGTTCTTGTTCTTGATAATCCAAAATGTAAGAAATATTTTTTCTTCTTAGCAGTTTTGGCAAAGGGAAGCGGCAGTGCTGAGGCAACAACTACAAAACTTGCAAGAGAATCATCGGTAAACTTTCTTGTTCTTTATCACATATATTTCTTCTCTCTGCTAATAACTTGTTCAATGACCTATAGAATAAAAATAAGGATATTTTTGTGTATTAAGCAATTCAGGTATTTTCTTAAATTGAGCTCATGTTAGTCCACGATAGCTTTTGAGATGTTTGAGCAAAATTATTTCAGAAGAAAGTACCCCAGTAATTTTCATTGAGTTCCTACATCATAGGAGTCAAATTGTTTCACAAGTGGAAATTTTCGTTGTTAGAATTGTTTTATTATTTGGGCCCTTAAATCTATTTTGTCTGCTATTTAAGTTATACAAGGAGCTTATATAGTGACTGAGCTAGAACGGAAGAGTAGAGAGACACGAGTACTGTGTAAAGTAATCCATAAAAAGCATGACTTCTGGACCTCGTTATGGAGAATAAGGGATGGGAGAGATGAAAACAATGATCCACTTTCTGATGCCCACTATCAAGTTCTCAGTCTAGTAAACGGAATCCCAAAGGTTTCTTTGGAAGCTCAAGAGGTCTATGACAAGGTGATCACCTTACCAAAGTAGTCAAAAGCAAAAAGTGCTAAAGTTCGTTGGGCTTTAAGATTAAAGTGCAATCGAAGTATGGGTTTTAACGTACAAAAGCGCTAATAAAAAAATGTAAAGCAAGTAAATGTAACTACAAAAAAAAAAATTAGTTCTTTGTACGAAAGAATGGAATTAGGTTGTATATATGAAGTAAAAGTCATGTTAAGTAAGCTCAGAAACCATTTTAAACTTCTTATTTAAATGAAAAACATAGTTTTATGTTTTTAATGGCTAATTTTCTTATATTGAACTTCTAATTTCTTATTGCTTTTTTTTTATAATCGTGGTGTCCGGGCCAGCTTGCGTGCACCTCGACTAATTCCACGGGATACCTGCCACCTCCCACCAGCAACAGATACCAGGTAACTCTGTCCACCAAGGCTAGAACAGATGGGAAGAAATCACCTAATGTTTTGTCTCTGTTGGGAATTGAACCAGAGAACTCATGGTGTTCAACCCACTTCATTGACCACTAGGCCACACCCTTGGTGCAGCTTCTAATTTCTTATTGCTAATCGCTAAAAGTTCATTCATAAGGCTTTCTTAACAATTAATATAACTTTGTCAACTCTATTTATTGTCTAGTGCAATGCTCTTAAAGATGGAGCTCATAGGTGAAGAAGCACATATTATAGTACCTACACTAAAGTGCCAACCATGGGAGGTGAATCCCACAAATTGGATTTCACTGAGCTTCAAGACTTAACTGCGCCTTAAGCAAGACTTTAAAAACCCTACACCTGACATTGTTCATACTGATCATTGAAATATTCAACAAGAAGATGGAGAATAAGGACAGGGGTTATTTATGGGGCTTCACAGCTTGTAGGGAAGGAAAGATAGTTTACAAGTGTATTATCTACTATATCTTACTATATGCAGATGACATTTTGTGTTATTACCGAGGCAAATCAGCTCTACTATTGTGGTCTCAGGGAACTCTAAGATTGATGAAGCGAAGAGCATTAAATAGCTGGTGGAGATCCATAGTTGCAGTATGGGTCCCATCATAAGATGACTTATCAATACTACCGCTGGGTGCGACTTTCAAGGATTGTCAAAGAAAAAAAACTGATGGTCGAGAGAGTCAAAAAGAGACTAACAGGCTGGTAGAAGAAATACTTCTTGAAAAAGTGAGATAGACACAGCGATCAAGAGAAATTTGCTTAATCTGCCAACTTACTATGTATCCATATTGACTATACCAGTACGATTTACAAAGACTGCAATATGAAAGAGAATGTTGAGAACCAAAAAGAAACTAAAGGACGGTAGAAGTAATACTTACTTAAAAGGGAGAGAGAGACCATTATCAAAGAGTAATTTTTCGAATCTGTCAACTTACTATGTACCAGGAATCATGGCAAAAGGTTAAAAAGTGTAAACGAATCTATTATGGGACACGATAGGGAGATGGAATGTTCATAGAACTCAACTAGGGAAGTTGACTTGGGGGTTTCGCATGGAAATCAACCATTGTGGAGAGCGATCATAGTTAAAAAGTATGTAGATCAAGTGGGATAATTAGGACCAATCAGATTATCCATGCTATATGGAGTAACTCTATGGAGGATATGGTGAAAATGTGGAGAGATTCTATGGATGTGTCAAATTAGAAGGGAGGTAATGAAACCAGAATCAATTTCTGGAAATAGAGACAATGTAGTCATATTCTTTTATGTTAAGTTTTCTGATCATATTCAATACTTTCAGCCAGCAGAGATTAACACTCGTCCCAATTATAAAGAATGAGGAAATTCTATAGAAACTACATTTGAGTGAAGGATTGGACGATGAAACAGCTTAATAGTTTGCTTACATTACCGTACAAGCAAAAATATCATTTATGGACAAAGGTAGCTGGAAACAGGAAAGGCCAGAAAGATGTTATGTTCATAGTGAAATCATTTTATAATGGACTGCTAAAGAAAAGGTAACTTCCCTCACTCTTCAATATGGATCCCTACAGCATTTGGGAAGCGTGCTTTTAAACCGATAGTAACACAAGGAGCTATCCTAACAACAAAGAATTTGAGAGGAAAATGGACAATCCCTGTCACTTTGTGCTTCATGTGCAAATAAGCAGTATTTACATAAGGGACGTACTGTTTTTAGATAATGTATGGTGTCTCAATCAGTATTGATGACCGAATGCTCTTTGCAGGGATTTGGATACATATGGGAATCTGCCCATAATATCAGTATATTATTGAATTCATCAACAAAGTAACTAGGTTAAATGAATTATTTCCTCCATTACTCTACTTAAACTATTTAACACTGATCTTTTGAATTGAGAAAAGGGAAAAGAGAAGAATGGAGATGATGTAGAGAAAAAGAAAGGGAGAGCAGATTGTTACTTTCCTGTGATGGAGTAAGGAAATATAAAAGGAATGTGTATCAATTGACACTAATTCCCTTAATAGTTATTTTGTTAATAATCCTGAGTTTTCTTTTAATGCTACAAAAGTTTCACTACAGCATGTCTTGTTTTTCTTGGTTTCACCCACTTTTGGACAGAACATTGTGTTAACGAACTTAATTCCCTCTTCCCTCCTCCCTTCCTATTCCTAAAAACCCATTCCGAGCAAACAAAAAAATTAAATTACCTACTCTTCTTTCCTCTGATTTACATATAGTGTTCATCGACTTAGAGAAGCCTTACGATAAAGTGTCGAGGGAGGTTCTGTGGAGATGTTTGGAGACTAGAGGGGTTCCAGTTGCATACATTAGGGCTATTAAGGACATGCATGATGGAGCTAAGACTCGTGTGAGGACACTGGGAGGGGACTCGAAACACTTCCCAGTTGTGATGGGGTTGCACCAGGGGTAAGCCCTCAGCCCATTTCTATTTAACCTGGCGATCGACGCACTGACGCGCCACATTCAAAGGGAGGTGATGTGATGCATGTTATTTGCAGATGATATTGTACTGATTGACGAGACGCGAGGTGATGTAAACAAGAGGTTAGAGGTTTGGAGGCAGACCCTGGAATCTAAAGGTTTCGAGTTGAGCAGGACCAAAACAGAATACTTGGAGTGTAAGTTCAGTGGTGCGACACAGGTAGTGGGCCAAGGCGTGAGGCTTGATTCACAAGTCATCCCTAGGAAAGAAAGTTTCAAGTACCATGGGTCAGTTATACAAGGGAATGGGGAGATCGACAAGGATGTCACACATTGTATTGGGGCGGGATAGATGAAATGGAGGCTCGCTTCCGGTGTTTTATATGATAAGAATGTGCCACCAAGACTTAAAGGTAAGTTCTATAGAGCGGTGGTCAGACCGATTATGTTGTATGGGGTGGAGTGTTGGCCAGTCAAGAACTCTCATGTCCAAAAGATAAAGGTGACTAAAATGAGAATGTCGAGATGGATGTGCGGGCATACCAGGTTAGATAAAATTAAAAATGAAGTTATCCAGGACAAGGTGGGCGTGGCCCCTATGGAGTACAAGATGCGCCCTATGGAGTACAAGATGCGGGAGGCAAGACTTAGATGGTTCAGGCATGTGAAGAGGAGAGGCACAGATGCACCGGTGAGGAGGTGTGAGAGGTTGGCCTTAGAGAGCCAACGGAGAGGTAGAGGCAGGCCAAAGAAGTAATGGGAAGAGGTGATTAGGCAAGATATGACATTGCTCCAGCTTACTGATGACATGACCATGGATAGGAAGGTGTGGAGGTTGAGAATAAAGGTAAAAGGTTAGGTAGTCGAGCGATGTCCTTGTTTGTTACAGTAGCTCTAGTACATCACTTAGCGTCTTTCGTGTATTTTCGTCTTCCTAGACTTTTGTTATTACTTGTTGTTGCCTTCACTTCGGTTTTCTGATTGCATTACCTAGTGTTAGTTTTGTATTTTTGCTTCGGCTTTCCGATTGGTTTTCTTGTTATTGCCCCTTCCCTTTATCTTTCCTGAGCCGACGGTCTACCAGAAACAGCCTCTTGTCTTCTTAAGAGTAAGGGTAAGGTCTGCGTACACACAACCCCCTAGACCCCACTTGTGAGACTACACTGGGTATGTTGTTGTTGTTGTACTCTCTTCTTTCCTCTCATTTCTATCTATCTTTCAATCCTAAAGTTCTATTAGTACTTTGCCTCCTAAATTATATGTTGAAGACCTTTCCATTTCAACTTACTTCATCATTTTGGAGCCCAGAAGTCAAGTTTTCATTTGAATTAGTTAATAGTTGACTAATTCTAAATGTTTGTTGTCATTTTCTAAATGTTTGTTGTCATTTCATTTAGTTTATAGTTTTTTTTTTTGATAAGGTCATTTAGTTTATAGTTACGGAAATGAAATAGTCGACTTGTTTTTTTATTGTTAAAAAGGTTAACTTGTCTCGTTCCTTTTTCTCATTTCTGTTTTTTATTGCTTTAGGCAATCCCTAGGTTAACCACCAATTTCCCTAAAAAAGCTTTTGCTATGCAAGAAATTAAGGGTTAAACTATCAGCCACCTTGCTAGGAAGTGCCACTTGATAGCTGGTAGCATTTTCAGTTTTCAAAATAGCAGATGAAACAGAGATATCCACTCTAGATCCTCCATAAGAAGGTTATATCTGTAAGTGCTAACAGAAAGGACATTCAGAGATTATTTGAGGTTACTGGTATTCCAATCAAAATGATGAGACATTCAAGACCGTGAGCATAATCCTTACAATGTCTTACTATCATCCCTCACATCAAGGCGTTAAAGTATCAAGCAGCACCCAGTATCTCTTATCTCTCATGATTAGAAGTATTAGCATGGACTTCTAAAGCATACTACATTTTGCAAAATATACTGCAGTGAATCATGCAATTTACTGAAGGTTTCTGTAGAGGTGTTTACACTAGATAAACTCAGAAACCACTTAATGTCGGGAGTGAAAATCCAATAATAAGCCCATCTCAAATGGTGTTATAGATTTCTGCTAAAGCCCAAACCCTCGAGCTGTTTAACATCAACCNCTTTTCTGTTGAAGTCGCGTGTTTGTTAACAGTTTATTTCTGCACTATAGACAAATGATGGGTGAAGAGCTTTCTGGTCTGAGCGTCAAAGATTTACAGAACTTGGAGAACCAACTGGAAATGAGTCTCCGTGGTGTCCGTGTGAGAAAGGTACGAAACTTCCAGATCCATCAAATGTGCACTATCTTATATGAACTAAAGAAGAACTAACTCAACCTCTCATTTCTACAGGATGAAATTCTGATTGATGAGATACAAGAACTAAACCGAAAGGTCAATCAACATAAAATGCAGTGACTTTTGTTTTCAATTTGTTCTAAAAAGGATAACTTTTAAAGAAGCTAAATTAACTTTTTTCCTTGCAGGGAAACCTCATCCATCAAGAAAACATGGAACTATATAAGAAGGTAAACCTAATTCGTCAAGAAAATATGGAATTGTATAAGAGGGTATCCATGTACATCACTAAGAGCTTTCACTGCGCTTCAAGAACAATTATTTCCTTCCATATTCATATACCAAGTAAAAAAGTTTCACCATTCTACTTAGAACTCTAGCAAATTGTTTCTACATTTTGTGTTGAACTTACAGGTTTATGGAAATAGAGATGCAAATGGAGTGAGCGGAATAGCCCTTGCTCCGAACAGTTTAAGCATTAATGAAGACCCCCACACTCCTGTACATCTCCAGCTTAGCCAGCCACAGCAACAAAACTATGGCACATCAGGAACTACAGAATTGGGGTAATTTCTTATTCATATTCTTTATCTGGAAGCACAATGGTAGCTCACGACCTTGATCATTGACTATCATCTAACTGGAACATGCTGCAGGCTACAGCTGCATTAGCGGGAAAACCAGACTCGTAAGAGTTTTGAGTTCTCGTGTTGAAGAAGCAGCCGTGCTTACAAAGTTATGTTTCAATTAGTAATGGTAGTAGTGGTAGAGAAGCAGGGATGTCAGGAAAAATCTACCGTTCATATGGTTAATGTCAGCAAGTTAGACAAGTGTGAGGTAATCCCTAGCACAGCTACTTAAGTCAAAATAACAACAAATAAAAGAATACATTGGCACAGTATCTCTAAGTTCTTTATCTTTCTCGACACTTGATGCTTATGATGTGTATGCATATATGCTAGGATTATAATTGATTTGACACTTCTGAAATAATTGTAAATAGTTGACAACTTAAAACAGGAGCAAGAGCGAAGAAATGTAAGCAGAAAAGGTTTTACAAAACAGTAGCTCCTCATAGAAATTCCTTGAGAAACACACCACATGCAAACAGTACAAATCTGAGCTAAGCAACTTAATACATTAAGACATACCTCAAAGTTGCATCAATATGCTTTGCATGCAATAGTCTTCAGCAAGGACAAACTAAGTTCATTACACACCAATGTCAAATTTCAGCATTCAACTGGAAAAGAAAAATACACAATACGAATTTATATTAGTAATGCTCTTCCCGGGAATTTAAGAATGAATGATCTTGAGCCTGAAGACTAAATATGTATAGAAAGAATTATATCAGGAAAGAATATATGAAACATGCTTCACAATTTTGAGTACTACATTCTTTGCTGCCAAATACAGTAAGCGTTTGTTTTTTTCTTAAATAAGGAATATAGTAAGTGCTTCTTAAACAAGTTATTTCTGGATCACAAGGATCCCAATGCTAAACCGACATGAATGGCATGCGCAATCAAAAACAATTTCTATAATACAAAAGACAGTCTCGCCAAATTATCTATTTGTACAGCAATGGATTGCACACTTAAATTAACAAGAAAGCATTCATGCTTAGGTCATGAACTGTCTGATCATAAAGTTCATCTCAGGCAGAAGTCTTCTGTATTACTTCAGGAAATACACATAGGCAGAACACAGTCATCTAAAAGGTGTAGAGTCTTAACCACAAAAGACTATTCAACTGCTATCTGGATGTAGTTTACATGAACGTGAATGAAGGAATATTGGGTAGTGAATAAGACTAGGGAATTGAAAAAAAGGCAAAAACTTCACGGAGCTTATCAAAGTTTAGTGTGTACAGGTACTACATATTGACAAGGTAAAGGAATTAAAACTAGAAATTTGAATTTCTCTTCAAACAGCAAAACTGCAAGCATGCAATGTTACCAAAGAATATGATCCCACCTGCTCGGGACATTCCAGAAAATTGTGTAAAATAAACAAAAAGGAGAAGTTTCTTCTTAGTTTTTAGTGGAATAATCAGCACATCGAGCATCTTTTTACAATGCCAATACCAAGAATGGTTGGAAAACTTATTACAACCAAAGCTCAATAATGGCAGCAGCAGCAATTTCAAACACTGAGAATATAAAACATAATTAAACAATCTCTTTTAGTCAAAGATTCTCAGTTCAAGACAAATAGAAACAAAAGAGGCGTAGATAAGGTTTCATAATGGCTTAGCACTTGGATAAAAATGAAGACAGCTAGTGTAGTAAGGTTCATAAAGATGCAGAATCGAGTAAATTCAGAGGAAACTGACACGGCTCAAGGAAAAAGAATTGACCATCTAGTGTTACTGCAGTATCTCAACTAAATAACACTTTACATCAATGTAGCAACAAGATTAAGAATTCCCTGACAGGCCGGACAAGGATAGCCCTTGTACAGAGCAAGGATCTATACACCATATTTCAGTAAGATGGCATGGTTCTCTCTTGGAGTTGCCAATATTGAGATTCTTTCAAATTGTACTTTTTTCAGTTATATATAGTAAGCTAAGTTAAGCCACTTGAATCCTTTATTTTCAGTTCTATCATGGTTTAATTGAAGGTCAACATGAAAATTTTTAGGTCATAATGAGAACTTTAGCAACATAACAACTGTGCAATCTTATTTAGAGGGTCTAAGTAAATAAAACTACAGAAAAGTAAATATACTAGTATGCTCTGTTACGACAATAGCATTAATATGTTATTCTACTAACGGGACAAGCAAGGAAATAGTGTAGTAACCTTATTCCTGAACTTCATTTGTACTGCCAAAAGTTTCAGTTTGAGGCGCCATTACAATTTAGTATGAGGTCAAATCACCAAGCTTTGTTTCCCCTTTCTTTAAGAGCTTCAGAAATTTTTTTAAACTTTATATATGTTATAACCCACTTCATCCATTCCAAAAAATTGGCATTACTCAAGGTAGGTGAACCAGAGACCGTAAGCTAGCCCCGCTTATTACTTCCCAAAACTTAACGCTTATTGTGAACGAGCTCACTTTTTCACAAAAAAGGAGATTGACAGAAAAAAGAAGGGAGTGAAGTACAATTGGGGAGGAGTTGGGACTTGAACCATCTTGATATAAGAGGCACAGACTCAAACAAATATGAGAGGCAGATATATACTCTACAAAAAGAAAAGAAAGAGAAAAGAAAATGTATTATGGTGATATGTTTGTAAGAGAGTACTAATACAAGTGGCGAAGCTAGGATTTTTTTTTTTTTAAATGGTAACATAAGTGGCGAAGCTAGGATTTATTTTTTTTAAATGGTAACATAAGTGGCGAAGCTAGGATTTTTTAAAAAAAAAAATGGTAACATAAGTGGCGAAGCTAGGATTTCCGCTAAGGAGATTCAAAAAACAAAAAAAGTAGACATGCACCGAGGCCAAGGGGATTCAATACCTAATATGTTTACATAAAATATTTGACCTTATATATGCAATGTAATTTTCCGGTGAAGGGAACCCCCTTCCACCACCATAGCTCCACCCATGCATTGATGCACACACATTTATTCAAAAGCATAGAAACAAACAATGTATAGCAATAGCATTATGATCTTGTCATCTTGATGTCTATCATAACCATTTTATTTATTCTTGAATCATATTTTCACAATTAAGGCATGGAAATCTATTGTATTGAAGATGTGGTAAAAAGTCATCTTTTGTTGCATTAAACAAAGCAACTGTAACTGAATTATATCAGTAAAAAATGTATCTAATTTATTTCTTCTATCCCTCTAAAACCTATTACTTCCTCTATCACATTTTTCTTTTTCTTTTTCTTTTTTTGGGGAAAAAAGGCCACTTTTCATATTCTGGGAGTTCTTTGACCACAACCCCCTTTTTTTAAACCTTTCAAATATTTTGAATTATTAACTTTTGTGACCTATAGTGCCTTTTATGTAGTTTCCAACTATGTAAATTTTATTTCAAAAACTTGAAGAACCTATGGTTAAATCCACACCAAAAATTAGGTACTTTAGCCGTTGTACTCTATAACAGAGGAATTATTCAATTAAAATCACTAGTAACCTGTATGATGAACTTTATTCAAGGATATGAGTAAACGAATGCACTAAAGATTTTGCATCACATCCAGGACTATCTATGGAATGGAATCCAGACCAGCTCAAATAGGACTAAATACTAACTGCCTTGTCATTTACCAAAATGCTAATACAGCCCACTAGCCACCAAATGTATGGTAGAAATCCATTTCAAAATAAGACTATGTTTAACGATAGGAAAATATGACAGTTCAACATAATCAGGACCAAAAAGAACTGTCCAATGAAAAAGAAAAAAAAGCACATCAAATCAAAGCTCTAATCCTATAAAGATAAGGAGAAAGAATACCATGCAATACCCATGTAACTTTACCATTTACCCCATAGAAAGGCTATAAGAACTAGATAATAAGCTGCATTTAGTCCCAGGTAGTTTGACAGAAGGGGAACCAACCATACAATAGGATCTCATTTAGTTGCTCTATGTTATCTTCTTTACCCACTAGACTTATCTCAACGCCTTCATGTCTATCTTCAGACTCAAAGCTACCTAGATAATTATGTGCTTTTCAAGTAGCGAGTTGATGCGCCTCGGGGTCAATATGCAAGAGTACTGTCTGCAAGAGAAGATGAAACATCCCTACATTGGTCCAGCCTTCCATGCTAGCTACAAGGATCTTAGATAACCCCCAATCACAACTCTATTTGTAGCTTTGATGAGCACTTCCATGAACAGTAACAACAGCCCCCCAAACGTCTAACAGTAAGAACTCCCTCTCAAACTGATTGCTTCTTCTCTCCCTATGTTGCTAAAATCCACTCTCTTTAATTTAGAGTTTTATGCCCACATTATCTTCACTCAATAACTCCTCTTACTTCCTTTTTCTCCATGTTCTACCTATTTCACCTTTATTGTGTCCATAAAATTCCTTCTCCGACTAGCAATTGCTAACAGATAAAAAGAATTTATGTTGCAATCACCCTTCTTCAACCACAATATCCTCAAATTTTATCTCCTTTTGATGCTTGAGTGACTGTCATCTTAGCTAATTACTCTTTTACCTCATATTTCCTAATTTTTCCCTCTTAATAAGCACCCTCTCTCTTTCCTCTCCAATTGTCCAAATTCATTCATCAGTTCCCTTGTTATATTTTTATCCTCTAAAGTACTTCTCCAGTCCATCTTAAATAATTTGTTAGCCGCTTCAACTTCTTCGCCGGAGAAAAAGAGGAACCCTTTGCATATGGTACTCCCTCCATCCATCCAGCACTGGCCGCTTCTAATTGTTAGGAAGGGTACTCCTTATTCTGCTACAATCTACAAAATCAGTATAGGGTTTAATATTAGAGAAGAAGCAATTTGGATAAATATTAGCAACATCCCCTCCCATACGGTTGGATGAGAAACTTGTCGAGCCTTGATTGACTTTTCAGTTGTGGACCTATCAAAAAATGGGAGAGTTGATTACCATCGTGAATTTCCCATTGCCCAAAGGATCGTCATACCATCTCTTTCTTTCCGTTTAAAACATCAAGGTTCAAGCCAGTTCGCATGCACTCGACTAATCCATCAGGTAACTGCCATTCCGTCATCTCCTATAAGCACATGTATAGGAGAATAATCACCTACTATTTTTGCCTATGTTGGGATTTAAACGCTGGCCTCACATTCCTCTCTTTCCTTCAGGAGTCTTATTGCACTGAAATCCCGATCTATCTCGCATTACCCCATCCTAGCATCACCAATGAGATCTCCTCTCAAAACTCCATTTTGACCCCTCACTTGCCGACCCATCAATCTCACTCGACTGAACTATCCACACTTTCAAAGATTACAATAATTGTGGAATCTCCTTCCTCACATCTTGAAACTTCAACATCGACATGTCTTATAACACCACAATCCCTTCTTATCTCCTCCTAAGCATATCATTTCACTTCTCACTCTTATGTTTTCACACACTTATGATAATTGACTCTGGTATTTTTTCGTTTTCATTTCTTGCGAGCACACTAATCACACATCTTTCCTTTAACCCCACCTTGATAATGGCCCTTATACTTAGGCATTCACTCCTCTCACCCCGCTCTATCTATCTCTTACTTCTCCTATTAGCCATCCCTATGAATCCCACATGGATCCATAACTTATATTTTTATAATTAGAATTAACAACTTATACTTTTTGGATCATAATATATTGCATTCTAAATACTTTGCTCTCTTTAAACTTTTTCATTTGCCCTGCTCAATTCTCTCATATGCTCCTCAACTACTCACTTCTGTTTTTGTAGGCTCATGTCAAATACTTCCTCCTTTTCAACCACATAGCTTAAGAAAGAAAAGACGATTTTTGAAACTTCCGATCGTAAATATGTCATAACATTTGTGTGGCTATAATACTTTTGAAACTTTTGATCTTAAATATGCCGGAGCATTTTTGTGGCAACATAAGCTTCTCAAAAAGGGTAAAAATGAGAAGTCACATTTAATTTAGAAAGAGGTCAGTCTTTTTGGAATGACTAAAAAGAAAATAAAATTGGAACGGAGGGAATATGAGTTTATTGGTCTCTCATTGAAATGTAAAATGAAAACCCTAATTTTTTTTTTAAGAACCTTAATTTATGTTAGAACATGTGTTTAAATACAAAAAAGTAGGTTGCCAAGCCATTTCACGAGGAAAATCGCTTTGAATATGATCTCTAAACAATTCTAGAGGAACAAAGCTAGTTAATGTTAAACATTATTTTCCTAGAGTAATGGGTAAAAATTAACATGGTGTTACTAGATTTTATTTAGATTGCCAAGTGGTATTTCAGTTCAACTTCTACTGTAGGCCATTATACTGGTAAAATGGTCAATTTCTTGTTGATAGTGTTTAGCTATCTGTATTTTAAATGATGTGGCGTGGATACACTTTAGATCAATAACACCAAAATTTATGTCAACATTAACAGGAAGGCAAAATGGAATGCAGATCATAACACAATTCCCAGGAGAAGCCATAAGACAGCAGCACTAAGAGTATATCACAGAGGTCGGAAGCATATTTCACATGCCATAAGGTAAAAGTAACTACTAGTATTATTTCTTGGGATGAATTAGTGCCAAAAAAGAAAATGCAGCAGAAACCAAAAAACAAGGGTACATGCAATAACAAATATGGAGCCACCACAGATTCGACCGAGAAACAGTAAAGTGATTCTTTTTAGAAGAATTAACCCAAATAGCCTCCACCTAATCGCTTAAACTAAAACTAGCCAGACAGATATAGAATATATGTATAATTCATGTATCATATGTGCATAACTGTGTATAATTACTGTATAATCTATGTATACCAACTAGAAAAAGTAAACAGTGAATCTTTGGCTATTTGTGTTAAAATCCCTTCTTTTTATGAAATTCCAAAGCGAAATTAATCAGCAACAGTACATCAAATGTGACATTAAAACCAACATAAGATGCTTATGGACCTCGTAAAGAAACGAAACTTCAATAACTCGGCAAGGAAAAACTTTATGAACCAAAATAAATTGCAAAGAAGAAAGAAGAAACTAATTGAAACGTATATTTAATTTAAATACGAAATAAATATGAAAGAAACAGCATTGCCCACCTGAAAAACCAAGCAACGGCATGTTCGCAATGGCTGGGAGTGATTACATATCGTATCATTCGAAAACTTGATGATCTGAAAGAAGTTCCAGATGAAAAAGCAAAACGAAAAATGATTCCGATCAGCAAGTTGAACAAAATTATATGATGAAAAAAAAACATGAAATGTATATAGCAAAAGTGTCGCAAAACGCAACCAGTCTATAAGCAAAGGTGAAAATGCGTTTAGCATATGATATTAAAAAAAGATTTTTTTCTATCTTTCTTAGGAACAAAACAGAAAAGAAGTGAATGAACCGCCGCCATTAATGGCCAAAATGATTGCAATTTCATAGTGTTGTGAGTGATCGAAAAGTTAATCGGACAATTTGAGGAGAAGATGAATGAAGATGCACTGAGAATTGAAAGAAAAATAAGAGTCATTTCAATGGCGTTTTCAGCAGAAAGAGAAACGGGAGAATAGATACCTACCAGATAAGTTTATGGAAACGGAAAGAGAGGAGAGAACAATGAAAAATATCTGCGTGAACCCGGAGTAGAGAGTGGGGCAGGGGCTTGAGATGAGAAATTGGGGGTGGGTAGGGGGTGCCCCCACTATATTTGGTTTGGGTATTTTCATTCAGGAAACTGGTTTTGATTCTCTGGGGACTGCTGCTGTTTATTTCACGGTGGCCCAACTGGTGATTATTTTATTGAGAAAACCATGTTCTTGTGCTTCTCGGAGAGGGCGTTTGGACATAAGAATTAATTGTAAATTTTTTTTTCCAAATGGAAATGGTATTTGAAAATTAGAGTTGTGTTTGGACATAAATATAATTTTAGATTGTTTTTTAATTTTTATGAGTGATCTGAATGAAAAATTTGAAAAACAACTTTTTGAAGTTTTCGAAAAATTTCAAAATTCATCTTCAAGTGAAAAATTAAAAATTTTATGGCCAAACATTGATTTAAAAAAAAAAAGTAAATTTTTTCGAAAATAATGAAAAAAAATTCACTAAAGCTCTCGGGATCTGCTGCTGTTTTACTGTGAGTCTGTGACTATCTGGTGAGTATTAATTTTATTTGAATCTAATTTTTTTTATATATACATTTAACAATTTACTCAAAAAATCGTAATTATAAATATAGACTGCTAAAACAGAAAATAAAACAAAATAAAGTGTATATTTTTTAAAATAGCATATTAACATAATTCATCTTATTTTTTATTTGAGTTGTTTTCCACGGATAGCATAAAAAATATGAAATCAAGTCAATTAAAGACCAATTGTATGTAAGTGTTACATATTACGTGAAACATTTAGCAGCTTCAATTTCTTGGCCGAGCAGAAATTGATCGCTCACCTCCTTCTACTATAGTTTACAAATTAGTACTCCATCAGTACGTCTAGAAAAAATAATTAACTTTACGTTTCTCATTTTACTCTTAACGAGATAACTTTTAGCCTTTATTTTAAAAGGTAGAATTGGGACTCGATCGAGGCTCGGCCCAGGGCGAAGCACTCGTAATGCGCCCCTGGGCTTATTGTGGGGCTTAGTTCCGTGAGACTTATGTCTCGGCCGTCGGGGCTTACGTCCTGGACACGCCCAACACCCAGTATACTGGGTTTGCCTAATAGAACTTAATGCAATTGTGTGTAACTAACCTTGTAAATCCTCAAATTTTCTTAATAAATCGCTGACTATTCAAAAATTACTTATTTTTAATCATAAATCATTAAGTTGAGAGTATTTTATGTCATAATTAAAATAAAAATTATTGCACGTTCTCAACTAAGACTACTATGATAGTAAATTTTAAATAAATCTTTCATTTAAAAAGTATTTATTTATTAACTTTTGTTATGTCTTTATTATATAATAGTCCATAATTTTTTATAATTATTTTACTAAATATTATTTTTTTCACGTTTACGAGATACAATACTTATTATTTTAATATCTCAGTATTAGCTAGTAACTATTTACAAATAATTAGTTATCACGCTATTATATGATGAATTATGTGTCACTTTATTAACTTGTTGAAACTTAAAAATAAAGGATGCTAGAGAATCGTATTTAAATTGTGAATTATGTTTTTACATAAATTCTCTTTCAAATAGAAAGCATATTTAATAAACGGAGTATTTTTTTTAAAAAAAAAAATATCAAATTATAATATCGAAATTCTTTCAAGATTCATTACTCCTTGAGAGATACATATGAGATTTCATATCGAATACATTTGAGTTGTAACGACGTTGCAGCTAATCTGCATATTGTGATATATGTCATACTTTTCATATTATTCATAGTTGAATTATAATTCATAAATATTTTAAATATATTATTTGTTATATTTTTGTGATTTTAATGTAATTTTATAATTGTTTTTTTATTTTATACTATCTTAAAATTAATAAAATTTAAAGATCCGTGGGACTTACGCCCCATGTCTCAGAACTTACGCCTCGCCTCGTCAGAGGTAAAACGCATCGCCTCACGTCCCTGCCTTTTAGAATATTGCTTTTAGCTACAAATTTTTTTATCTCTTTATTTAGACTAAAAGTTTTAGAAATCATTTTTGTCTTTTAAACTTTGTTGTGTCCTGTCAACCACCCTCACATGAATTGGGACAAATGGGTGATACTAGTTGAGTAGGAGAAATTTAAACAAAATTCCTTCTCACCCAATTGAGATAAGAAACGTGTTCGTCTCTCTTTTACCTAGTTTAGCTGCCTCCCTCTTTTTCTATCCTTCTTCACTTAAACACCAAACATCATCCTTCATTCAAACTCAAACTCATGACATGTGCCTTACACACATCTTGCGTTATAATACTTTTGTAATTGAATCAGCACCGTAGGGCTATGGATCATAACTTGTATCTCTAAATTTCTTTAATCTCTCAATTTTTTCTATTTATATCCTCTTCACGACTCACTTTCCATCATCATAATATCATATTTAAACACATTTCATTGATGCCTCCTTAAACCATGGAAAGATAGCTCCAAAATTTGTCTTAACCCGAAGTTTCCTTCCCTACTGATTTTGGTAATTGCGTCTCTTCTAGCCTCACCTGCCATGATCTTCCTTTGCTCCTTTCATAAGTCCCCACATTGTTATAGATTAGACCACAAGTTAGTACCCCCCAACCAGTTTTTTCGTCTCGTCAATGATTCCGTATGGACCCTTCTTCATTTTTTTTAAAAAAGTGAGGACAATTCTTATTGTGGTAGGTTTAACAACACTAAATGTGACCTGACAGTCTAGTCCAACTTCTTGATTGAAATCCTTTGATGCAACTCTCGCTCTGTAGCTTTCAATGGAACCATCGACATTGAGTTTCAACTTGAAGTGATCACCTACACCCAACAAGGTGTTTAGCACCCGAGGAAGGTACCAAAGTACAAGTTAGATGAAAGCATTACAAAATGAATGCAATATATTCCTCTTGCATAGCATGTCTTTAATTTGCAATCTTACTTGCTTGAGAAAAATAGGTTGGTTAAAGGAGGAGTGCGGGAGGCGGTAGTGAATATTTGGCGGTGGGAGGCATTCCCTATATGTGTACCTTAACCACATCCTCCTCCTACGTTACATAATCATTGTAATTTATATTCTATAATGTTTTAAGTATTTACTGCTTATTAAATATTGTATCTGTACTCTCTTATGCTGTTAGATTCATTCTCCTTGACTTTTGAGTATAAATAGGTACGAGCGTTGAATATTTTGAATAACTGCTCGTGCCTCTATTTGTACCTTCTGCTCGTATCTATTGCAACTCGTGCCTCTTTGTCAATCATCACTCTTTGACCAGCCTTCGTGTCATGACACGTCATCTTCCAATTACTTTAATATGTAAACTCGATTTTCCCAATACAGAGACACGGTCAAAGTGGCGGACGCGACTAATCCATCATAATAAGGGTATAAACCTCTAAAAATGTAGAGAATCAAACCTCCATCAGAGACTGGTTGAGTAGCTGCAGCAAGGTTATAATTGTATGTCCATTTTTGCAGGTAATCCACCATGGAAGAGGTTACACTTTTGGTGTTTTGCAATTGTATCCCGAGTTGCATTAGCATAGCTCATACAAGATTGAGAGGTAAACACTCACACAACCCACAATCTACACAACGAATTATTATCATCAAATGAGGAAAGGAGCCAGCTTAAGAGTAGTGACATGTTTCTTCCATGTTAAGTAAAGTGGGTTCAAAAAAACTTAAGTAGTGATTCATCACTCGAACGCGAGGTTAGAGGTTTGGAGGCAGACCCTGGAGTTTAAAGGTTTCAAGTTGAGAAGGACCAAGATATAATGTTTGGAGTGCAAGTTAAGTAGAGCGATTCAGGAAATGGACGAAGCTGTGAGGATTGATTCATAAGTCATCCCTAGGAGAGAAAGTTTCAAGTAGCTTAGGTTAGTTATACAAAGAAATGGGCAGATTGACGAGGACGTCACACATCGTATTAAGGCGGGATGGATATAACAAAAACTCGCTTCAGGTATTTTGTGTATTAAGAATATACCACCAAAAATTAAAGGTAGGTTCTATAGAGTGGCGGTTAGACCAACTATTATATGGGGCTGAGTGTTAGCCAATCAAGAACTCACATGTCCAAAAGATGAAGGTAGCAGAAATGAAGATGTTGAGATGGATATGCGGGCATACCGGGTTAGATAAAATTAGGAATAAAGTTATTCGTGACATGGTGGGCATGACCCTTGTAGAGGACAACATGCGGGACGCGAGGCTCAGATGGTTCGGGCATGTAAAATGGAGAGCCACAAATGCCTCAGTAAGGAGGTATGAGAAGTTGGTATTGAAGGGCCTATAAGGAGAGATAGAGGCAGGTCGAAGAAATATTGGGGAGAAGTTATTAAAAGACATGTCGATTCTCCAGCTTACCAAGGACATAACCCTGGATAAGAAGGTGTGGAAGATGATAATCTATACTATATTAAAAGCACGAAGGCCTTAGCGAAATGTCATTCGCTTTTTTTACCCTTTAAAATTAGATTTCACACTAGACAAAATTGTCATTTAAATTATTTTCCTAATATTTAAGAATTTAAAATCAACTAAATTTTAATTATTATATCTTTCCTTATTGAATTAGATCCTAATATTTAGAAGTTTAAATTCACTTGATAATTTACCTCAAATAAGAAAAGGATCCCTTTTGTTTTAAAACAGTATTATTCATATATTCTACGTTAGTCTATGTATACAAGAACTTCCTTTTACGTAGTTACTATAAAATCTGGTAACTAAGCATAAAAATAATATGCTTTATAATATTAGAACACATATTATATTTATGATATTTGTCTTTGTATTTAATAGTATTACTGAATCATAGTTAATTAATATATATATTTTTAACTTTTTTGTCACTTAATTGTGATAAATTAGTATAGTTTAATCTTTATATATTGACAGATGATTTTTTCTTTTTCAAAAT